TAAGTTTAGTCTAGTATATATTCTTGAGAAGATGTTGTATATTGTCCTATATGATTTGTCAATTTGATGCTCATACACTGAACTTTCTGAAATTTTGTTCTAGGTGGAAGTTAAGAGAGATGAGAAGCAGGATGAAATTCGCATATTTTCTGATGCGGGAAGGATTCTGCGCCCTCTTCTTGTTGTTTCAAGTCTAAAGAAAATCAAAGCTTTGAAAGGGGGAGACTATGGCTTCCAACGTCTTCTGGAAAATGGGATTATTGAGCTTATAGGACCTGAAGAAGACGAAGATTGTCGAACTGCATGGGGAGTTGAATACCTCTTAAAAGCAGATAAAGAGAACCCACCCGCTAAGTATACCCATTGTGAGTTGGACATGTCTTTCCTATTAGGTTTGGATGTGGTGTTATCCCTTTTGCAAATCATGATCATGCTAGGAGGGTCCTCTATCAGTCTGAGAAGCACTCTCAACAAGCAATTGGGTTTTCAACAGTGAATCCAAACATTAGAGTTGATACAAATACCCATCAACTGTATTATCCTCAAAGGCCACTTTTCAGGACAATGTTGTCAGATTCCCTTGGGAAGCCCAAAAATGCTCGTAACCAGAAAGGAATGCTTCAACGGCCTGAATACTTCAATGGTCAATGTGCTATTGTTGCAGTAAATGTTCACCTTGGCTATAACCAAGAAGATTCATTGGTTATGAATCGTGCGTCACTGGAGCGTGGAATGTTTCGATCGGAGCATGTTAGGAGCTACAAGGCTGAAGTCGACAATAAGGAAGCTATTGGAAAGAAGCCAAAGGTTGAAGATTCTGTTAACTTTGGGAAAACCCAGAGTAAAATTGGACGAGTGGACAGCCTAGATGATGATGGTTTTCCATTCATTGGGGCAAATCTCCAGAGCGGGGATATCATAATTGGGAAATACGCAGAATCAGGGGCTGATCACAGTGTCAAGCTGAAGCATACCGAGAGGGGTATGGTTCAGAAGGTTCTGCTCTCTGCCAATGATGAAGGGAAAATTTTTGCTGTTGTATCTCTGAGACAAGTAAGATGCCCATATATATATATATATACACACTTATGTGACTCTATATATTCCATATTGAACTTTTTTTTTAAGACACATGTTTATGAGAAACAAGTCATTATTTGAAAAACCATATTAAGTCTTAGGAGAGCTGTTTGCAGTCGATTTAGCAAGCTTCTTAATGCCGTTCCATTTCATGGGGTTTCTTCATGATAAAAGGAGAACAAATGCTATGTAGACTATTTATAGCTTCAAGTACTTTGATCTCTCATTAATGAACACCTTGAAAGAGTAGCCAGTGAACTGAATAAAAGCAGATTTGTCTATAAGTAGCATTACTAAACTATGCTAAAGCTTCAAAACTAGAAGCCATTGTAGAAAATCTTCAGCCTGATGTTGTAAGGACCAACTGATGTAAAAATTCTGAAGAATCAACATGTCCTTAGGAAGTATTATCCTGTCTCGGGGGTTTTATCCAGTAAAGGCAAATCACATAGTGTAATGCCAAGGGAGCTTATAAACTACCCAAGCTCCCTGTTTTCAACCAATGTAGGAAATGTTCTATGTACCATCAGAGCGCCCTCCACCCCCAACAAGCAGTTTGTGGCTGCCAACTACAAGGGATCCGCCCTTTAGTGGACCCTATTGACAAGTGGATCCTTCAACATATTCTCATGGGGTATTACTCCGCCACCAACATGGTGTGAGGGATTCTGGTCCTGAAAAGATACCTTACGAGGTGAGTGGGAGGGAGCTCATAAGCTGTCCTAGCCCCTTGTCTTTGACATATGTGGGACAAGGTCCCAAGTAACAACAGCTGATACTAAGTCATGACACGAATTGAACTAATCCTAATTCACTTTTATTGATTCCAGTATTCTTGTATATTCTGGTGCAGGTTCGTTCTCCATGTCTTGGAGACAAGTTCTCCAGCATGCACGGACAAAAGGGTGTCCTTGGATTTCTGGAATCTCAAGAGAACTTTCCTTTTACAGCTCAAGGGATTGTTCCAGACATTGTAATCAATCCCCATGCATTTCCTTCAAGGCAAACCCCTGGTCAGCTGCTTGAATCCGCTTTGGGAAAGGGTATTGCCCTAGGTGGTGGTCAGAAATATGCCACTCCCTTTTCACTTTATCAGTTGATGCCATAGTCGAGCAGCTTCATGGGTATGATATCTGAAAGCAGTATCCCTTTCCATAGTTATATATAATTATGCCAACCAGTTAGGCAGTGATCGTGTTACTTTGTTGTATTCAACATGAATTCTGGTGATTTGTCATTGACTCTTATAAATGGTATATATGATCTGCAGGCGAGGTTTCTCGAGATGGGGAAATGAGAGAGTTTACAATGGCCGGACGGGTGAAATGGCTCAAAACCTGATTTTCATGGGCCCAACATTCTACCAGCGCCTTATCCATATGGCTGAAGACAAAGTGAAATTCCGTAATACTGGACCAGTCCATCCCCTTACTCGCCAACCTGTGGCAGACAGAAAACGCTTCGGTGGAATTAAATTTGGTGAAATGGAGCGTGACTGTCTTATAGCTCATGGTGCTGCAGCGAATTTGCATGAACGCCTTTTCACACTTAGTGACTCCTCCCAGATGCACATATGTGGGAAATGCAAGAATATGGCAAATGTAATCCAGAGGTCCGTGCAAGGTGGTAAGGTAAGGGGCCCTTATTGCCGCTTCTGTGAATCAGTTGAAGATATAGTCAAGGTTGATGTGCCATATGGTGCAAAGTTATTATGCCAGGAGCTCTTCAGCGTGGGCATATCTCTTAAGTTTGACACTGAGATTTGCTAGTGTGTAGGTCTCATCTCCAGGTTATACTTATCATGCTGACATTTTGGTACAGTTGTTGATGACAAACAATATAATCTGTAAATATCTCTAGTTTTGATGGCAAAAAGAGATGGTCTGCTTGTATCGAACCGTGTTGGTTATCAGGTCGAAAAAGCTGTTTAACATCCCCCCTCTCTCTCTCTCTCACACAAACACATTGAATTATTAACGTAAATTTTAGTTTGAATTAGTTTGATAGGGAAGTATTGGCAGTAGAGGACAATATGCTTTGCTCTATTAAGGAATTGATTTTCAGTGCTAAAGGGTAATAAGAAGGGATACAAGTAGGAATTATGCTATGGTCATAATCAGTGCCATGCTTGCCCTAGAAAAATAGAAAGAGAATTTTTGACATATCACTTGGCTTGTTTGGTTTTAGATTAAAATTGTTTCTAATTAACTGATTAGTAACACTTACTGAATTTTAGGTAAAATAATCCAAACCAAATAACAATGGATACATTTATTTTCACCTAACAAGTGGTATAACTAGAGGGTTGGGAAGGCTTCTAGTGATTAATCAAAATATTAATGTTTGAGAATTGAGATACATAATTCCTTGCGATAATACGGTTTATACAAAAGTTATGATTAATATTTCTTCCAAAATACTTGTGGATATTCAAATTCGCAAATCTTTCACAACCTTGACATTTTCAGGCAATTTCTATGTCTCTTCATTATTTTGTTCAAAGATGAAATTGATAATGATTTATTCTACTTTAAAATTAAGCAAATTGAAATTTCTGATAAGAATGTTAATAAAGCGTATATTGAAAATTTAAAAGGTATTAATTAGTCAAAAAATGAATGGACCTCGTACATTCGAAAAGGTGAAGATTTTTGGCTAAAATTTGATTCAAGTTTTGAAGCTTTGTTAGGAAATTTAAAAATTTTGGAAATATAAAAGTTGTTTTCAAACTTCCCAAAATCTTGAAATAAAATCCAAAATTTTGAAAAAGTGAGCAACTTATCAAACAGAGAGAAAAAAAATTTCACCTTTTTTTCAATACAAGGTCTGTTGGAGATCTTGTAACAATATTATGTCAATAAATTATATGTTCTAGCAGAGTTTTTTTGTTTTTTTTTTTTTTGTTTTTTCGCAAGGGTTAAAAATTCGGAAATAGCTCTACTTTTTCTTTTTTTTTCTTTCAAAATATTGTTTGGTTATACCCTAGAATGATTTTTTGGAATTATTTTTACTCATAAAACCTTAATTTAAAAAAAATAAATTAAAAACATGTCCAAAAAAATAAATTAAAGACACATCCAAACACTACTTCGAATTTAAACCACCATATAATACGACTTAAAATGGGTTAGAGATAAAGGATGTTGCTTTTCACTCGACGTGGCTATCATTATTCTTACCAACAACAATAACAATATTATACCCGGTGTAATCCCACCAAATAAGATCTGGGTAGGATGCATGCAGACCTTATCCCATCTTTGTGACTGTTAATATTCTTACCACTTGATGGAAACAATAACATTTTTCAGATTTAATATTATACCATATTACCATAGGAAAAGTCTTCGTACATTAGGAAAATGTGAGAATAAAATTTTGATATTTTAGTGGAATAACATTTGGCTAGATGCATTCCCAAAGACATGTAACTTGATATTATATTAACTATTATTCTATATTGTTTGTAGAAATTTTCTTTTAAATATGGAAAAAGTGAGAATATTTTGAACGAATCCAAATTTCTTTTTTGAATTAAAATTGGATAGAGAAATAATAAACATGCGAAATTTCACTTTCCCAATTCTAAAGATACACATCCATTTGAGGATATTGAATCATAAAATTTCATTAAAATTTAAAAAATTGAGAGATTCTTCTACGAATTCATATCTAGTAAAATATCACGTTATAACCAAAAGATGTTTTTATAAAATAAAAAAATGGATAATTTTGCTGCCATGGGGATAAAAATTGATTTTACATGCATATTTAAAGTATTTTTTTGGAATTCTTTGCATTTTGTACCTGTACTGCGTGTACTTTATTATGATTTGCACGATATATTAGATCAGCGGCTTCTTGAGCTTCACTTCCACGTGGCAATTTAAAAATTTGAATAAACCCGCCAGTATAAAACCCCCAAATTCAACTTAGCAGCAGTCATTCGCATTTCAGAGAGAAACTTCGAGAAGAGATGAAGAAGAGATCGAGATCGACGAGGAAGACATCGGCGGGAAGTCCTGTCCAGTCGATGAGTGAGTCTCCGAAGCCATTCGAGTTCAATTTCAATATGTTCAACGCTACGCCAACATCGTCATCGTCGAAGAACAACAAGAAGAGGACAACGGGAAAGAAGAGTTTCAATATTTCAAGTCCGGAGCAGGTGAAGCCTGCCGTTGTTTCCCCTGTGTCGGTAAAAAATCTGAAAACGATTGCGGATCTGAAGGAATTCGCATCGTCTCGATTGGACTCTATTAAGCGCGACGTTGAGCGATCGCATATGGAGATTCTTAAGGACCTCGAGGCTTCTCAGTCTCGCCTTCAGAAACGTCTCAAGGCCTCTCTCTCTCTCTCTCTCTCTCTCTGTGTGTGTGTGTGTGTGTGTGTGTGTGTGTGTGTGTATGTGTATTTAATTTACACACTTAACCATAGATCATCATTCATGAAGATGACTTTATATTCGTGATTTTCTGTGTTTCATCTTTCTACTTTATAGCATAAGCTCTTGCCGTTTGCTAGTGCTTAGGTCAGTAGTGGAGTTAGCCCTTATGCATATATAAATATGTATGTGTGTGTATATTTATGTGTGATATGTGGTGATTTCCTGCTAAATTTCTCAATTCGGTGATCTGTCAGCTGCTTCCGGTTTATTGATCTAGTTTAAGAACTTGCATGAGTTGTACCGGAAACAAATTGTTGTTCTCTCTGTTTTGATGTTGCTTTTGCGTTTTGAGATGCAGCTTCTAAGAAGTTAGGTGTAAGAAACTTGGTGTAAGGATCTCAATAAATTGAATAGTATGTTCTAGAACATTCCCGACTATCAAAGTTTAATCATCCGACGGATGGTTACTGTATTCTGATTTACTCAGAATCTTAGATTTGTTATAAGTATTCCTCTCAGAACTGTTTTAGTGCCAGGTAGATATGCTTTAAGCATAGTAAAGCTGTTCTTTTTGCTAAATATGAATAGGCTTATGGAAACTTCCTCAATGGTGGACAAAAATGTGTATACTCTGCATAGGATATCTAGATTTCTTGGCTCTCACAAATATTCAAGCTTAACGCCAAGTTCTGGGAAATTGTCTGTTGACATAGCGATATATAGCACTGAAGTGTTAATCTAGGCTCTTCTGAGTGGGATTCCAATGTTAAAATACCAAATCATTTGTCCATTTTGTACGACAATTAGTGCAGTTTTGTGCTTTGTTTTTAAAAATGAACCAGAATATTTTGCTGCACTTTATTGGAAGAGGATATATAAAAGACTTGCAGGAGATATGTGTTTCCTTTTCCGATGAAGTAATGATCTTGTCAGCGATTTATTTGATGGAAAATAACCAGATATATCGCATTGGGAATACTATAATAGAACCTGGAGCTTGTTAAATGCAAAGTAATGGTCTTCAATCATGTCATTTGAGTAAGAAAGAGCATCTAGATTTAACACCTTAGTTTTGTTACTGAAATTAGAAAAAGAAAAAAAAACATTTTTAAGCTCTATGAGATTAGGTCAGTTTTGAGTTATTGACCTAAAATAAAGTAAACAAGGATTAGAAGTTTGACTGCTGTAAGCTGATCTCATGCTTTACAAGCTTCCATCAAGCTTTGCAAATAAAATTGATTAAGGAAAATCGTTGTAGTTACATGATTTTTCATTGTTTCATAATTCCATTGAACATGGGTTTTAATTTTAGTGTAAGTAGTTTTCTTTCGTTGGCTCTCTACATTGTTATGTTGTAACTTCAACTTCTTAAGCAAATTAAAAGGGCTAGAAGAACCATCCATGACACAGTTATTCAGATAATATAGCATATTCCACATACCAGAGCTTTTTCATATCTGTTGTAAGTTTGTTATTTCGTTACGTTTTCCTTCTAATATTTGGGTAATTAAACAGATTCAGACACAAGGATGTCATCAAGTGGCAGATGAAGCAGAAAAGGAGTACAAAAAGATGTCTGATCGATTCAGTGAAGGCAGGGAGGCAATGAAGGTAAATCTTCCATTATCTGCTATTGCCTTTAACAAGTCTGCTCCTATTGAATCTCAATTGTTGTGCCATTACGATTAGTTAATTTAATTTTTCCTCTCTAGGCTTCATATTCTACATTCATGGCAGATCTTCAAGCTAGTGGATCTCGTCGTAAGTTCTTAGCCTTTTGTCAACTGTGAGGATATGCTTTTTAGTAACTGCAACTATATGCTGCAAGTTTTTGACAATTGAACACTATAATAACCTTGAATACGATAAGCAGATGAAGTAATTGACTGTATTTTCTTATTCTTTCTTTATTGGCTTGGCCAAAAGTGTAGCAAATTCTTCTGAATTGCTTTTCGGATTCAGATGAACATCTTATAAACTGGCTGACATACTTTACAGTTTGCAAACAAACCATCCCCGAGCTGTCACAATCCGTTGAGAAAGCCATAGATGCTCTCAGGAACCGTTATGGGATCCATTCAACTTAAGCTTGTTGAAGGCATTGGCATTAAGGTAAAATCTTTTGCTGCTTGATTGTTTTTGTACTTGTATCTATCTTATGTTTCTCAAAATCTGAACTAAGAATTATGTGGGGTGATAAGTGTTTTAGTTATCTTTCCTATAACTATGTTATTATTTTACCTGGTATATGGAACTTGAGTTAGGAATTTTTTCCTTTAGATGGTAGTACAAGATCATCAGAACAACACGGTAGCTGGTATAAAAGCGTAGAATGTCATGGCATATTCGTTTTAAATATCGTGAAATATACCTGGGGGAAATGCCAATGAAATCCTTTTTCCTTATCTGTATGGCCATATTGAAGACTTGACAAGATCTAGATTGCTTAATACCGTCGTCATAACTTCCGTTTGGTTAATGTTTCGTGCAATTATTTCGTTTATTTCCTTGAAGGAGGACTCTGTTTAAACTTAAGCAAGAAGTGGAAAATAGAATTAGCTCTTGTAAAAAGGAAATATGTAACATATCAGAGATAGCGATTTTAAATCAGTACTTCCAAAATCATGTTGTGTGCTTGACTCCTTGCAGAATGATCCGTTTCTACCTTTCAAGCCTTCATGCATCTGGATAAAATTCCTTCATTTCACTCTAATCAATTCTGTACAGAAATTTGAGCACTAAGCCAGTATATATCCCTGAGGTTGAAACACTAATTGATAATAAATCATCTTTCAGATGGCAGCTGGGCTGATGAGAAGCCCATCTGCCATTTTTTATTGCATTGATTCAAACATTTCGTTCTTGTTTTGTCATTGTTTATTGTAGTGTGTTTTTTTGGTTGATCAAATGATTATCTTTCCGTCTGATATAAAGCATTGTCATTTGCTTTTGATTGACATTCTTCTGAAACTCATAATCCATTTTAATTTGAGTTATATAATTTCTTGATAGGTGGAATCTAGTTACTCTGAATTACATTAACGAAGACAATGTAGGAGCAGATGGAGATAGTTCAAGTGATTATCTTTTGAGGCCTGCTTACGACATAAAATCATCCATGAAAATTCAAACTCCTTTTTGCTTACAGTTGCAGTTTCTTGAGGAATATAGATAACATGCAAATTTGAGTGCTTAATCAGTTAGTCTTGTTAAATTCATATCTTCTAGATGCATTGACTACCAGCTTCCTGGTTCACCCAGCCTTATATTGGCCTAATTTGGTAATTTTCTATTAGAACATTACTTTCGTGCATATGCGACAGGAAACGAAAGGTGTTATATTACACCATAAAACAGAAGGTATTTGAAAAGAAAAGAAAATTGGAGATGTTCTTTTTTCTTATATACACCATGAGTGCGCTCCAATTTATTATTACAGGTGAAAGAATAGCTTCTAGGCCTTTGGTCAAGTACTTTCTTTTGATAATTAGTCTACTTGAGGATTACGTATAAGAGTATAATGTAGTGTATATGTAGAGAAATCCGGCTAAGTATTTCTATCAGTACTTAAGCTTTTGAAAGCTCCGATAAAGAGATTGATAGCTTGCGGTATATGAGGATTTCTATGTGCATGATTTTTTCATAATGAGCTAGTTAAATGTGATCAATGTTCATCATTATTGTTGGGATATATACTATTAATTATGGATTTAGTTTAGATATAGTATTTATTATGATATAATTGTTCATTCAATTTTAATAAAGTTTTAAATAGATCATATATTAGTCTGTGTCCTTTGCTTATATAGTAGATGATTTAGTGTATAGAGTTTAGCTTATACACGGAAAATTAAATCATCGGTTCTTATAAGTATAAAGTTTGTGTTCACAATCTAATGATGGAATTGGACAAACCATCAGGGATGATTGTAGCACAAGATTAAATATAATTTATCTTGATTTTGGGAATGGTTTAATTCCAACTTCTTGTGCTAGTACATTTTGTATGTATTGAACGGACCAAGTAGAGATAAGTATTTTATACTGATTTAATAAAATAAACTCTCTAGCCATTAAATGTACTTATACGCTTAATCTTGATATTATTATTAGCTGTGTACATTATTATTATTTTGATTTATTAAAAGGCGAGATTCTTTCGTGGGTCAATATGCCTGGTAAATTGGATAATAATAATGTACATGGGTGAAGTAATAGTTAGTTGATGGAATCCATGTCTCGATTTAGAGATTGATGATACACCTTTATGAGAGCTTATAAGATTTCATGTGTAAACCTGACCGGTGGATTTTGTATCCGACACATGAAATAAGTTAAGCGAAAGTCTAAAGGAAATAATCAATAAATTAAATCGTCAGTAATTTAATTTAATTGATTAGTATCTGAATCTTAACATGAGGAGTTAAATAAGATTTAATGGATGAATTTTGAAATTGAATAAGGAGTGCAATTACTAATTTTTAGTGGAATAATTCGTAATTAATTATGGTAGATACTAATTTCGAAAAATATAAATTAATTCCATAATTGGAAGCCTTGTTAATTAAATTTTGTGGTCCTTGTTGTGTCCAAATAATAGGAAATAAAGGAATCCTTTTTTTGGTGGAAAAGAAAACCTAACAGATTTTGAAAAAGGGTTTTAATCCTTAAAACTTGTGCTATAAATAAAAATAAGGTTTTCCTCCTAGAAAAGAAAGAGAAGAGGTGGCCGAAATTTCAGCCCTTTTCCTAGAAATTTCGCCACATGAAATTGCTATTTTCGGGTATTATTTAGGTAACACAGTAGAAGATCGTGGAACATTTGAAGATCACGATTGTACGGGTGATGGAGATTCCATTAAGAAGTTATGGAACTGAAGGCTCACGTGATAGAAGAGATATGTTCACACTCCAAGAGGTAACCCGTGAAATTTCGTTTATACTAGTTGTCTAGATTACATGTGATTTTGATATTGGGATTACTTCCGCTGCTTATTATAATCCATCAATTATATACTTTTTTTAATTTTTATTTATAACCTAAGTAAAAGATAAGCATGAAAACTTGTGAAATTTTAGTAATTAATAAATCTTAAATTGAAAATATCAACTAAGATGATTGATTACTTCTATATTGTCATTGTTTTTTATTTTTTTATTATTGAGTTGCTAAATAAAGTCAACAATTATCATTTTAAGAACTCACATTTTTTTCTTAAACTTATTTTATAACTCAAGTGTAATTAACTAATATAGTATTTATGTAATTTTTATAAAATGTATTTATTGAGACGGGATACAAGCGCAACGCACGTATCGTAAAGGTAGTTCACTATAAAAATTATAAATCGGAGAATTATGTGGAAATTGTTATGGCGAGGAAGAGGCAAATCCGAAAATAAAGAAGATAAAGAACACCAAATTTTAACGTGGAAAACCCTTCAAATCGAAGGTAAAAACCACGGGATCACAAAGATCCAAAAAGCTCCACTATAACAATAAGAGGGTTACAAAAGTTCTCCAAATTGGCTACACAACAAGGGCCAAACACGGAGCAACAATAGCAACAAGAGCAACAACTAATCAATTGAAGAAAGAGTATAATCCACAAAACGAAGCTGCTGTTCGAGGCTCGAAATCAGATGCTACGAGCCTCCAAATCCGATCTCCACCATTCAAATCCAAGACCAAGATGTTACGAACACTCAGTCAAAATTTCAGTCCGATCCAACGGTTAACGAATCGGAAAACGTGATTTGAAGTTGGCTGGTCGGAATAAAAATCTGCAGCAAAACAAATACTTTTTTTCTCTCTTCTCTCTTGATGAAAGCTCTCTCAAAACCCACTCTTATGTGCTTAAGTCTTTCAAAGACTTGTATCAATGAGCTTAGAATAATTCTCCAAGGTTGTCCTATTTATAGATCATGAGTGGTGCTTTCTCTTAAAGCCAAAACCCACTCAAAATAGGAATAAACCGAATCCAATTCCAAATAGGATTGGAAACCAAAAGAGAATAGGATTAAGCCATTGGGCCTTTGGCTGGACAACATGGGCATGTGCCCAACAAACTCCCCCTCCAGCCAAGGGGCCAAATGTGTCTTCAAGTATAGGAATTATTGACAGGCTTCATGCCTGCCAATTTTCTACAAAATTCATGTTTATCTGCAACCACCGCCTTTGTCAACATATCCGAAGGATTTTCATCAGTGTGTATCTTCTCAACCTCAAATAATTTCTCTTCCACGGCCATTCTTATCCAATGATACTTTCTATTTATATGTTTGGTCTTAGAATGAAAAGTGGAGTGCTTGGTGAGACAGATAGCACTCTGATTATCACAAAATAAGATGTACCGTGGCTGCTCAAAGCCAAGATCATTAATAAACTCCTTCATCCATAATAGTTCTTTGGCACCTTCTGTGACAACAATATATTCGGCTTCTGTGGTGGATAGAGCTATGCACTTCTGTAGTCTAGATTGCCAAGAAACAGCTCCCCCTGCAAAAGTGATCAAATAACCGGAAGTGGATCTTGAATTATCAAGATTGCCTCCTAAATCAGAGTCTGTGTAACAAACAAGTCAGGCTTGCCATTGCCAAAGCACAGCTTCAAATCTGTAGTACCTTTTAAATACCTTAATATCCATTTTACTGCATCCCAATGTTCTTTTCCAGGATTGGAAATGAATCTGCTAACAGTGCCAACGGCATGTGCAATATCTGGTCTAGTGCAAACCATAGCATACATCAAGCTACCAACGGCAGAAGAGTAAAGAATACGAGACATCTCCTTTTTCTCTTCATCAGTAGATGGACTCTGACTAATACTCAATTTGAAGTGTTTAGCAAGAGGAGTACTAACCACTTTTGCATCTGTCATATTGAACCTCTTGAGTACCTTCTCAATGTATTGCTTTTGGGACAGAAATAACTCATTTCTATCTCTGTGTCGGTGGATTTGAATGCCCAAGATTTTCTTTGCTGGCCNNNGTTCACTCAAATTTAATAAAGTTTTAATAGATCATATATTAGTCGGTGTCCTTTGCTTATATAGTAGATGATTTAGTGTATAGAGTTTAGCTTATACACGGAAGATTAGATCATCGGTTCTTATAAGTATAAAGTTTCAGTTCACAATCTAATGATGGAATTGGACAAACCATCAGGAATGATTGTAGCACAAGATTAAATATAATTTATCTTGATTATGGGAATGGTTTAATTCCAACTTCTTGTGCTAGTACATTTTGTATGTATTGAATGGACCAAGTAGAGATAAGTATTTTATACCGACTTAATAAAATAAACTCTCTAGCCATTAAATGTACTTATACTCTTAATCTTGATATTATTATTAGCTGTGTATATTATTATTGTTTTGATTTATTAAAAGGCGAAATTCTTTCGTGGGTCAATATGCCTGGTAAATTGGATAATAATAATGTACATTGGCGAAGTAATAGTTAGTTGATGGAATCCATGTCTTGGTTTAGAGATTGATGATACACCTTTATGAAAGCTTATAAGTTTTCATGTGTAAAACCCAGCCGGTGGATTTTGTATCATGAAATAAGTTAAGCGAAAGTCTAAAGGAAATAATCAATAAATTAAATCGTCAGTAATTTAATTTAGTTGATTAGTATTTGAATCTTAACATGGGAAGTTAAATAAGATTTAATGGATGAATTTTGAAATTGAATAAGGAGTGCATTACGAGTTTTTAGTGGAATAATTCGTAATTAATTATGGTAGATATTAATTTCGAAAATTAGAAATTAATTCCATAATTGGAGCCTTGTTAATTAAATTCTGTGGTCCCTGTTGTGCCTAAATAATAGGAAATAAAGGAATCCTTTTTCTGGTGGAAAGGAAAACCTAACAGGTTTTGGGAAAGGGTTTTAACCCTTAAAACTTTTACTATAATTACATAAGGTTTTCCATCTAGAGGGAGTAGTCATAGTGGCCGAAATTTTCAGCCCTTTTTCCTAGAATATTTTGCCCACACGAAATTACTATTTTTCGGGTATTATTTGGGTAACACAGTAGAAGACCGTGGAACGTTCCGAGATCGTGATCGTGCGGGTGTTGGAGAATTCATTAAGTTGCTGTGGAATTGGAGGCTCACGTGATAAACGAGTTTTGTTCACGCTTCAAGAAGTAACCCGTAAAATCCCGCATACACTAGTTGTCTAGATTACATGTGATTTTGATA